ACGCCCCCCGCCCCCGCGGCGGAACCGAGCGGGACCCCGGGAAGGCGGAGCCGCAGTGTCAGTGCGGCCCGGCGCCCCGCCGCCCGCCCCGTCGCTGCCGCAGCGAGCGCACCCGGCGGCCTGTGTTCGCTCAGAAAACCTGGGCGCGGGGTCCGCGTGCGCCCGAGCCCCTCGGCCGCCGCACACCGACGACCTGGGCCGGTTCCTCTGCGGAGCGGGCCGGGCCCAGCGCCTGGCGGTCGGTCACGGTCCTCCCGGCCCCACCGGCCGAGGCGGACAGTCAGGGTCCTGGGTGACCCGGCGGAAGCGACTGGCTTCATCCGACACAGGCGCCCGGCGCTGGGCACACACTCCGCCCGCCTCCCCTCCCCTCCGCACACCCCAAGGATGAATGAAGGAATGAATGAGTGAATGACTGAGTGAGCGAATGAAGGAATGAATGAGTGAGCCAATGAATGAGTGAATGCAGAACTGCCTAATACCAGCTGCTGGCTCCCTCCCCCGGCGCCCAGGGTCGGCCCGCTCGCTGTCCACCGGCCGCAGCACCGACACCCGGACGGGCCACGCGTTGTTTAAGGGGCAGATGTAGGGGATCCTCGATCGGCATGATCCGCGGACCTGGACTTCCTCACGGACCAGACGTCAGCAGGCCCGGGACCCCGGGGTGTAGGGACCCTGGGGTGTGTGGCGCCTGTGCCTCATTTGGACCGTTCAGACCCAAAAGCGAACTCAGGCGCCCGGGCCTGGCTCGCAGGGTCCATCCGGCGAGCAGAGCTCCCGCCCTCGCTGTGGATGTGGCCGCGACACACAAATGCTGCTCAGAAACGTCCCTGAGCGAGAGGATGTCCTGGGAGGAGCAGTCGATGAGCCACACAAACACGCGCTGGAAGGGGCGCCGGTTCGGCTCCTGGGGCCCAGCCTGTCCTCCTGCCGCCCTGGTCCTGCTCACACCGGGGACGCGGCCCGATGACGGCCCGTGGCATCACCTCCACCGACCCAGGCCTCCTCCCGCGCCGTCCCCCCGTCACGCACCTCACCTCCTGCTCCCACAGCTGCCGTGACGGCCTGAGTGTCTCCGCCGTTTCTCCGACTCCGACCTTCCCCCTTGAACCGTCTCACAGGCTTCTCGTGTGTCCGAGTTGTGTCTTGTTCCTTACACACCTGCCATGGTGACCCTCATCCACTCCACGCTCAGATCTCCAGGGGACTTGGACCCCACGCTCCCTCGCAGGGCTCCCCTCGGGCCTCCCCTCTGTCCCCCCCCCTCTGTCCCCCCCTCTCCTCTGTCCCCCCATCTCCCCTCTGTCCCCCCCTCCTCTGTCCCCCCCTCTCCTCTGTCCCCCCTCTCCTCTGTCCCGGCTGCGGCAGAGCTTGCTGGCTTCACAGGCAGCAGCCGCTTCCCTGGTTCTGGCAGGCGTGTCCTGAGTGGTCATTCTCAAAACCATCCGAGCTGTGCAGCTCCCCCTGGAAGGCCTCCTGGGCCAGGCC